CTTTCATACGCTATTCACTCAAACCGCTGGCTCGCATGTAAAAGGGACATCCCTGTCTGAGACAATCGCATGTTTCACAGAAAAATCGATAGATAGACTTACAGACAGAATGGCTGACTGGGTTACCGATCAATTAGTTGACATATTGGTGTGGGATGTGATTCCTTTGCCACTTATTTTCAGAGCTTAAGTCTCTGCCCCGTACCGCAAGCTGAAATATCAGTATGCCAAGGAACAGCTGCAGCGTAATTTCTCTCAAGCATCAGTCTTTCGTGAAACAAATCGCAGCACGAATGAGATAATCTTTTTTTCAAATAATCAAATATCCTTCTAAGTTTATTCTAAGTGCTTATTTGAATTCATCAGCTGGACTGATGATATAAATTGGCCAACATAAAAAGTTTCCAAAGCTGTCGTTTCGAGCGTTTACCGTTCTTGTCACCTTCCGACAGACGCATCACCACAGTTTCTTTAGAATCATGATAAGCCTGAGCTACAAATAATTTAACACCGTTATGAAGGTCGCTAGTTGTGGATATTTACCACGCTCTGCTGCAGTTTGGTAAATAGCTTTTCCTAGCTACCGAAGCGAATCGCTGTTTTAGTATATGCTAGGACAGTGGGATGATATGATGCAAAGGGATTGTTTGAAAACATTTATCCATGAAGCAATAAGAAACCTTTTGGGCGTAAATCCCGGGCGCGTTGCTCGGGGGTAAATAGCAATGGATATTCAGAGTTTAATGGCCAATTAGAGCGCGCCTTGAACGGAAAGATCTAGAATAACTTGAACCTCTTTCAAAACTTAAAGGCAATTGCGTTGTGGAGATTTAGGGTTTTTTCTCTCTTATCTTGTTTAAAAAAAAGTCAAAACGTCTTCTGCTTCAATCCACGTGAGCGTTAAACTTTCATTGTTGATAGGAAACGACGGTAAACGAATCAGCTGACCGATCATGGTGTGTCGCAGTATTGAACACAAAAATAGGCTTCCTTTAATCTAAAATAGAAATGTTCAAAGGATCGTTTGTATTGTAGCCAAATGCGTTAAAAATACACACCAAAACTATTTGACCACTTCCTTTCGATCCAAATTAGTTTCCAGGGGAGTCAGAAATATCTTTGAACCAGACAAAATTCTTTATGACAGACATCGAATGAAAGAAATAGGAAGAGTCGTTGTTCTCTCGCCACGCTTGGAGGTGATAAGCCACTTGAGTTCTTAAGCCAAAAAAAAATTTATTGAGTTAGAAACATCGCGAAAATAGGTAAAAATAGGTTTGCTCGTGAAATAACTTGAACTTCTTGTTATGTAAATTGGGCGGAGCCATTGAATATCATGTCTGTGGCCTTAATACGCGTGCTATCTATTTAAGTGATCTAATAAAGAATATCCAATATCCGCACATCGCACATCGTGAACTCAAGAAATTGACACTGGCTCACCAACATGCCTAATATTCTTGAAGAATGTTAGGCCTGTTATTCTTATTATTCTATTTCCGTTTTCACGGAGCTCTTTTGAATGCAGATAAGACCAGAGAACGCAATATATTATGAACGGCTTGCCGTTCCTCAAATAGCATACCAGAAATATCTGCAGTATACGCGATACTCAAAAAAAGATTAGAACTATAACACGGATGATGATAACGGCTTCAATCGATATGAGAGCAAATGAAGTGATTGAGACGTTGTAATAAACACTCACAATAGACTTTACGATAGAAATGTTGTTTACTTTTGTAATGATTTTAACATTTGTAGGCACCATAACTGTACGAGGTAGATAATGATTTGATTGATGGATGATAAAATTGATTGAAGAAGGTTCAAGGAATGTAACTTCTTTGGTTGAATTAAATTGCACGTGTGGTCTGCATTAAGGAGTGCCTGGTCAAGGAACGGAAGTAGAATGATAACAGTACCATCCAGCACTTTTGAAGTGTCAAGTATTAATGGATAACACAGTTTCATTGCTCCTGTGTATTAAAATAATTGTATCAGAGATAATTTCTCAATGCAACCTGATTTCCTCTGCAATTTTATTTCTGTTTGTGCATCCGAGGGAAAATCTTTTTTTTTTTTTTTTCCCTCTGGGGGTCAATGGTTTACTAAACAATTACTAACCTCAACATTCTAACCAACAGGAAAAACCGTAATTCTGCATTGCTTCATAGCTCTGAGGATTAACTGACATTTTCACCGTTTAATCTTGAATCCCATTAATAACTTATCTCAAATTCTTACTCTTCACCATAGGCAGTTCTCACGAACTTGCACTTGGGGAGCAATGATGTACTTTGCAACTCCTACGGAGCTCGACATTTTAAACAACGGGAAAAATCATATTTTTATTTTGTTTCATGGCTCTAAAGATCGCTCAGCTACAGTCTCTCCAGTTAATAAGGGATACCAAATTAGTACATGATCCACGGGAGAGTGGTTTCTGCTCCAACAAAATGTCAGTCACCCAAGCTAAGTTTAAGAATAAAAAATCATCCAGGGAAATTTCATCCAGGATCTTAGGGTCATCATAACTGGAATGGAAAAAAAAATTAATACAATTAGTGTTGTCTCTGGCGATAACGGAAGTACCTGACTCCCATAACTTGGGAGGCATTAATGCTTGGGACATGTGCGCACGTAACTCTGTCAGCTACATATAACTCGGCAGAAGGTTGAGTCCAATCAGTTTTGACAAACCTTGCCATCATCCATTTTTTTTTTGGCAGCGTTTCTGAGTGATACTGCATGCAACGCCAAAAGAATTACAATGAGACGTATTCAACAAGGAATGGGTATGTGAAATCTGGCTCTTTGATAAACAATTCGCATTCTAAAGAAACTCTCGTCGAAAACTTAAGCATTGCTTGATATGTGTCAAATATGGGATTTTTATTGCATGTCTATGTCATTTAAACCTAATTTCTTACTTCTGTATATAACAAGTATCATGCAAATAGTTGGTTGATTCGTCGAATTTCGTCCGGCCTAAGGTTTATGTCTTTTCCATTCCTTTATTCCTTTAAAGTGTACTTGCCAAAGAAACAGGCTTCAGGCGCCTTCTTCTTCTTTCATTCAATATTGCTCTCTGCCGTCTTTTATTTTCTGTCCAAAGTAGTAATGCACTCATTCTGTTGCTCTTAGTTTTGGCGGCGGTTTTTCTCATAAAATTTGAAAGTTGATCTGGCTCAAAAGATAAAGGCGAAACGTAAAACCGCCACGTTGATAAATTCCGTCGTATATCTTGATATTTCATGTGAAGCGTACGAATGGTACGTTCCCTGAGCGCAAGAAAACATGAGAAATTCCGCTTGTTCATCGATGTCCAAATTCTGTTGATGCAGGTCTCCGGTAAAATTGGCGACGGATCTCTTCCCTTCAGTTAGGCCAAACAAGTGTTCCGAATTATCAGAGTTTCTTCACATGGATTGTTCAATCAAGTAGCCTACAATCAATTGCCCAATGGAATGAAAATTGACCGCCCCGACCGAAAACTTATCGCCAAAGTGATGTTAAAGGGGAAATCTATCGTCACCGAATCCCGACTTAAAAGATTGACAATTTCACAGGCTCGATTTGGCTTGATCAGCATCGGTACCTCGTAGCACTGACTCTGAATTGAAGTCATTCCACGTGGAATCAGTTGGCAGTTTGGTTCAGAGGTTTTGTTAAGGAATAGAAAACGCATAAGAAGCAACGGGAATCTGACCGCTACGGATAAGATTGAAGTTTTAAACTTCGAAGCAAATACTTGTCTCGGTCAGTTGGTAACTCGTGATTCGCACGCTCAGAGCATGAAATTGATTCCAGATTTTTATAAACGAAGGCTGTCCGCGATTACGTCATTCGCTTGGCTTCGCAAAACAAAACAAGTGATGGCGTTTTCGTTTGTCGATGAGCTGGAACTCAAAGACTATGCAGTGTTTCTCTCTAAAGTATTCTTCCTTGTTGCTTTAATCTTTTCTTGGATTCGAAATAACTACATTTTGTTTATATATTGAAATACCGCTGTTTATTGCCTGGTGATGTTTTTTCCTTTTTTTCAGCTTCCGTCGTAGAGCAATGCAATTATCATATGACTAGACGGTTAAGAATATATGAAAGTCATATATTTGAACTGCGGATAAAGATATGAATGAAAGTGATCCTCGCAGTGATATGCGCTACTTAGGCAGTAGTGAAAATAAGGCCTGAAAAAAAATTCAGGCGTGTACGGGATTTGAACCCATGACCTCTGCGATACCCGTGCAGCGCTCTACCAACTGAGCTAACAAGCCAACTGGGAGCTGGTCATGATGGTGGTTCTAAATAAACCCGTGAAGTGATGAATAGACGGTTAAGAATATATGAAAGTCATATATTTGAACTGCGGATAATGACATGAATGAAAGTGATCCTCGCAGTGATGTGCACTACTTAGGCAGTAGTGTTATACTGTTATAAAGGCTTAATTTTTTTTGCCTTTTCACTTTTTGTAAATCCGGATTTCAAAATCTAGATCGAGATTTCCCAATTGAAAGCATCCGTAGATTGCTAAGTTCTGTCGGTTGTTCATTTCATTATGTAACGTGCGTGGTACTGATCATAGAATATCAAAGCTGGAATGACTTCACACCCCACAATCACTTCTTCTCTTCAGGTTCAGCTCAAAATAAAATTTTAAAATAACAAATGCTTTATGAGATTAAAATATAGCACTCATCTTTTAAAAGAATGCAAAAGAAGGAAATTCATGACTCATTTATCTCAAGTTGGATAACTAATAATAATAATCCACCTTAAAAACGGATTTTTGAGCTTGAAAATCTGGTTTTTGATTTCATGTTTGGTCGCAAAATCTGAAATCCGGATAACCCCATAGTTTCTTTCTGTATCTTGTCAGAAATTCATTCTGAAATGTGACAGTATAATATATCGCTGCTGAAGTAACTTCACACAACAAAATAACTTCTCTTTCAGGTTCTGCTCTACTGCTTCTGGCACTTTTTGTGACTTTCCAAATTCTACCACGAATGCGTGCATTGCCAATAGATTGCCAAAAGAACATTGCAGTTTGCCTGGAAGAAATAATGAAGGAACTCACCCAAGTTCGATTTCAGGTTAACATCCTCGCAGAGAACAGAACATCGTTGAGATGTAAGTAAGATATCCTTCGCTTATTCGTATTCATTATTCCATCTTCTCTCAATCGTCACTTATATTACGGGAGACTTATTCTTCTTTCCAAGTTAGAAATTTTAGAAATTTTTCATCAGGTGCAAATCGATACCAACCCCTCGTTGTAGACATTCCCACAACACCAAGCATCTTTATTTTATCTTCAATAGCTAAGAATTGCGCTGAGCTGTACAAATCTGGTCGAAGGGTCAGCGGTGTCTACACAATCGACCCAGATGGTTCAGGCGCCTTTGATGTATATTGTGACCAAACTACAGCTGGTGGGGGATGGACAGTGGTCCAGAAGAGAATGGATGGCTCTGTCGATTTTAACCGCACCTGGGATGACTACAAACATGGCTTTGGTAACTTGGTTGGTGAATTTTGGCTCGGACTGGACAAGATAAACCGCCTAACCCGAAACAAGACAAAAAACAAGCTTCGAATAGATCTAGGTGTAGAAACTGGCAAAACTGTTCACCATGAGTATGGCTGGTTTGGGATTGGGACCGAGACAGCTAAGTACCGTCTATACCTTGGTGATATCATAAGTAAGTTAACCGATTTTTAGCATTTATCTGTCGATTTTTATACACTACTTCTCTCTCATCTCAATCTCGATATTTTACTCCACTTGGTCGAATAATGGTATTATTAAATAACAGGGTAGTCCTGAGGTAGACCCGCACGTTCTGATTGTTTCTTACTCGGTCGGGAGCTTGGTGCGAGTCCCACATGAGAAACTTCTTACTAAAGTTATTTTATTTATTTATATACTTTTGCCTTTGTTTTGTTTTGTTTCTTTTTTTGCGGAAAACAACAAGTTTGAAGCTATAAAGACATTTTACGGACCCTTGAATTATACGGATTTCTTTTGTTCTGTTTTGAAACAGATGGCAGTGTTTCCTCTGATTCCCTCAGTCATCTCAGAGATCTCGTTTTTGGTACCTGGGATAAGATTCCTGCTGATTGTGCTCAAAATAGAGGAGGAGGCTGGTGGTATGAAAACAGCAGTGCTGGATGTGCTGTTTTGTCAAATCTCAATGGTATTTATCCGCGTTGTGGAAAAGAAACCTTGGCCGCTATCCACTGGGGTTACTTAGATTCTGCCAATGCCGAGAGAAGCGCTCCGACATCAACTGAAATGAAAATTAGACCAGTAGAATTTATGCACGTGGCTTGAAGTCTACACATATGAAATGTGCATCTGCTTAATTGACGCTGTTTGGATTAACTTTTTCGATCTCTTCACTTCAATAGGTTCAGTTTTTTAAATTAGATTATGACGGCATCATAGACTCGACTACATTTTTCTTGTATAGAAAATATATCATAGCCTATTGGTATCAGAAATGTTCCATTATTTGCAGACTTCGTAAGATTTGTTTACAATAAAACGACTAAAATGTCACCAAACATAATATCAGGAAAAAAAAAATTTCAGTACACCGAGTTAATTCAGAAGAATTCTATATACAATGGAACGCTACATGCCACAAGATAGAGTTTAAATATGTTTTGTTATTAATACTATAAATTTTATTTTTCTAATGATTTTTAAGGTTTATTATTTCAGTGCTATCAAAGATTAGATAAAAAAAGGTATCTTTAAAATGTGGGTTTATAATTTGTGAAAAAAAATAAAGACTGCTTTACATTATTTCTACTTCTATATAAAACACTTATCGATTGAGTTGCCATTGTAATTCTCTTGTTGAAGACCTTCTCCTATGCTCTCCTACAATGGTTTTCAATTTTGATATTTTCAGGGAGGATCTGACGAACACGTTAAAGTATCGAGGTACCCTTCCGAGCCTGGTGTAGCCGCTCATTTGCGCAAAAGTATCAGCTAAACATGTTTCAAAGTTCTTTACAGCATATCGAGGGAGATAACTCCTGTTAATTACTTTCGTGTAAACAGAATGACAAAACAATTATGTCCCAAAGTAGGAAATGTTGACATCAATCTCTTACGGAATTCTTGGACGACATGCATAAAAGTTCAAGGGTTGAAAATTGGATTGACAGACAAGAGAATATACATTCTCGGTTTACCCTTAACTCTCTGCACACTGTTCTAAAGAGTGATGAGACGGCTAATTAAGGAAAGTGAAAAAATGGAACATTCTTAAATTTCTTTCTTAAAGTCACATTGCTGTTTTCCCTCACATCGAAAATTTACTAGGACTTGAGTGATACAGTCCAGTTTGTTTGGATGTCTGTGGTATGCAAAGGCTGGTAGAAAACATAGTCAGTTTTGTGTTTAGAGGCTTTTATGTGCCCAGTGAAACATATATGTTAAAACTTTAGTTATTTTTAGAATATAAATACTTTAAAAGCTTTCTATAATTTTCGAAAGTTTCTTTTCATGCAGAGTTCTCGGGACAATCGGGCTATAAGGCAGACTATTCTGTGACAGTAAAATTAACAAAAAATATTTAAAAAAGCGAATTAATGTATGACTGAAATTAAACAGGTGAGAGGACTTATTTTCGCACTTTTATCTTTCTACAGCAAGCGATAGAATTTCTGGTACTTGTCATTAATTTTCAGTAAGCCCATCATGAACGAATGACAAGGTTTCAGTCAGTCTTATTATCGCCCATTGTGCCCGAAATAACTTTTATCGCGTCTGAAAATATCTCCTCTTTAGGATTGTGTTCAAATGCGTTGATATTTCTTTCAAACTGTTTTATCATTTATACCTCAAGCTTTACAAGTTTTCAGGAGAGTCTGATTATTTGTTGCAACTGGAATAAGTGTTTGTGACAGAGAAAGCAAAGTACGAGAAGCGCTGACTGTTTTCTCTCTACGTGTATAACTGATAAGACACTTTCGTTCGTGGAGTGAATCACTAAATATAGATTACGTGTCGGGAATATGATGAAACAAGGGAAGATATTGCTAATCCGGTAAACTGTTAAATCTAACGGAGTCATTGAATATCTCACTTGTGGCCTTGGAGCACGTTCTGGATTCCCTGACTAGCAAAATTTATGAAATGTAATGATTTCTGAGTGACGTATTCCTTCTGATACAATCTTGCGGCAAGTTAGAAACTTGAACAAGATAACATATCTAGTATTGGCCCTTAAATAGTCTCATGGAACTGTTCCAGTCTCTATACAAATAATATTTAAAAAAGTATTTATGCAAATGCAATTTATGCAGGAAACTGTTCTATAAGGTACGGTGCTCTTGAAAACGGTACTCCGTCGCAGATCTACTAACTACAAATCAATAAGCTTTCAGAACTCTCTCATACGTTTTTGTTAACCCAAGAGATATTAGGTATCTTATTTACATAATTTTAATTCTGACCCTATCGTATCGAGAAACTTGAATGCAAATGACACCAATATCAGAGTACTGCTGTTCCCAAAATATTCTAAAAGTTGCTGTGTCGCATTTTTTGTTTAAGAAATGCTAAAACACAGAGGATGAAAACCGACTTCAATCAAAACGAGACCAAATGAAGGTATCACATTGCCCAGTAAATGTAATAAACCGTAGATTAACTTTGAAAAAATTATGTCAAACGAAAGAGTGTATTGATATTGATATGAGGAAGGAAAAGTGCAGTCACATTTGATTTGAAAATTTTTAAAATTCTGAAATTGTACGGTTTTAAAATGAAAATACTATATTTTGACAATACCTTATGAAATACCAACAGCTAAAAAATAATATCAACCGTTTGGAAAGCCAAGCGATGTATTCAGTTACGTTTAGGATTCCTTCTGCTGGAATCTTTTGGGACTCGTCGACCGCTACGCTCGCCAAATTTTGTTGAAAAATCCAGCTCCGCATTAGTTTGGTTTGAACAACTGCCCAATGTTTCTCGTTTCAAGCGTCGAAAAGAAGTATAGGGAAGAAGTCTCGACAATTATGACCAGGGTTTTGGCGATTTGGAACCATGACTATGATTTTATCAAATTACAAATCAGCGATTACGATTGTAGAGAACCAATACAGTGAGCATGTACACCCTTGAACAGTTACCACGATGCTTAGTCTTGCACATTTCTTCATCTAGAACATCACTTTTTGTGATCCTTCGACATCAAATAACATATTTTTGATACTGTCAAAAAGTTTGAAAAAATGCAATAGAATAATTTTGACTCCTTGGCATTAAGTGCATTGAAAAGCGTACGTCTCCGGGCATTTGGCAACAGAGTTATGGCAAATGATGACTGAAATGTGATTTGGACCGAGGTATTCTTTCTAATAAATATTGCAAATTAACCCAAAAAATATTAGGCATGTTATCTTAATTATTCTTATCGAGCAATTTTGACTGCAGACGAGACAAGAAAAGACTGCTATTAGAGAGTTGCTGTTCTGAAAAATACCAAAAATACCAAAAACATGTATAAGCGATACTTTAAAGGATCAATGCAACAACACTGAGACTGATAACGACTTCAGTCAAAATGAGAGAAGATGGAGGTATGGTGATACTGAGTAAATACAATAAAGCAAGAACACACACATCATACTTCACAATAACAAAACCATTTGGGGCCAAAAATGATCCAACCGACACAAATGATCCAACCGACATAAATGATCCAAGAGACACAATTGATCCAACAGACACAAATGCTTCAATGGACAGAAATGTTCTAACAGACACAAATGATCTAACAGACACAAATTATCCAACAGACACGAATTATCAAATGAACACAAATGCTTCAATAGACACAAATGATCCAACAGACACAAATAATCTAATAGACACAAATTATTTAGTCGAAACTAATAACCCAATAGACACAAATGATCCAATGGACAAATTAAAAGCCAGTTGCCTTTAGCAACATGGATGTCCAGATTTAATTCGTGGAAATTTCCAATATCTTTTGAAACTAAGGAATTTGTAACTATAACATGAATTATAAAAATTCCGATTAGTTCACCGTGGATTAAAAATCTCTGTTAAATCGGATTTAAAATTTAGAGCAAGCCGTCTATTAAGATAATACGTTGCTGTTTTTAAGAAAAGGAATCTATCAACGTTGATGACATTTACGTGACTTTTAATATCTAATGCTGACCATCAGTTGTTATTTTCCGTCGGTCATTCTGGGTTCTCTGAGCTACCACACGCGATCTACTCCGTAAACCACCACCATAATATCTACGAACAACAACCGACGAATCACAATGAGAGACAATCGACAAGGAATAGGTATGTAACATCTGACTGTTCAATATACAAGTTACAGAGTTGAAAAACTTACTTGCTAATATCCTATGCTTCCTTTTCTCAGATATAGGTTTTTCCGTTTTAAAGTTTTTGAAATTTGCACCTAATTTTAATTGAAGTGGTTTGTTATTATTAGTATTATAGCAAACACTAACAACTATTCGAAAACCTGGTCGATCGCAGGGAACAGAATCGCGAGAGGTGATTAATTGATCAAGATATAGAAGGATGACAGGGAAATGTTCATGGATAGTGATAAGTCTGGATTTAATGTCACTTTTTTCAACTGAGTTTGTATTTGAGACTTCCCTTTGTTTGGGTTATTTACTGTTTATTTCACTGCATACTGGAAGCTCGAACTTAAGTCCACATACTTCCAAAGGCAAGCTCGACAAATGCAGTTGATAGCACAAATTGCAAGGAACGGCTGCACTACACCATGGACTCAGGCTGATTTGGTTCTCTTGAGAAATGCCCTACTGAAGTCATATTTTTGAAAACTGTTATTAAAAGGCCTGGGTTTAGCGGCGTGTTTTACGTGATGCATAAGATTGTCTCCCTGAGTCGAGGTAAACCCGGACTAATAGTTCCTACTTAAAAAATACAATAATTTCATGTTAATTAAAGGTAAAACTAAAGTGCTTTGCCAATGAAAGGTGCTTAAAGCCCCTTTTTTCAACGGCCGTTCCCGTCCCAAAACGATTCCAGAGTCGTAGCCATTGTCATGTTTTTGGTGGCAAGATGAAGGCCAGAATAGAAAGTAAGAGGATACCACGAGCGTCTGTTTAACAACCTTGACTGTTCTTTATTTTATGAAACCACAATCTAACAACACTCCGAAACGTCTGGAGTTTGATTTCTGTTCCTTGCCTTTGGCTTTCCAAAGGTTCTTGTTGTTGGTTGGAGTCGCAAATGGAGCCCCTTGGGTTAACAGTTGGTACAGCTCTCAGCCTCTTCAAGTTAATAAGGTTTAGCATGAAATAACATGAAAAAAGGTCAAAATTTGAGAAAGTAAGCATTAGATCTAAGCCCCGAGTTTTGACGAGAGTTTCTAT